TTTAAAATATACGTAAAGGAGTAGGATAAGTGATTATTATCTTCAAGCAGGTATAACGCATTCTTTTCTCTCATGTCCAATCACCTTTCCCGTAGTTAAGTCATGAAATACACAATGATTAGTACAAACATGCCACCTTGTAGTTGTGATCTTTGGCAAATTTATGAATGGACAAAACGTTTACAATATGATTGGAAACATGTGGCACATTATTGAAAGTAAATGCATGGAAAATAATGATATTTTCTTGACCTACAAAAGGTGGTTAGGGACCCATCGGTTGCTTCTATTTTTCTATTATTGAGAAAGGATTTGTACGTTTGGAAGGTTTTGGTATGTTTCATGTTATCGGTGGATCTTGAATCTATCAAGATTTTTTTGGGATCCATTCAATGCACTAAAAATACAAGTATTAAAAATTCATTTTGAGTTAAAGGGTATGACCTGAATAGTTTTTCTAGCGAGTTTAAAATATTCCTTAGCTTGTCAATTTATTTTGAGCTGAGCCCTTTTGGTTCAATAAAACAAGATTTCCCTTTTCATTGGCTTTCTTCGTATCCACCAGTCTTGGGTCTTTCTGTGGAGTTTCCAACATTTTTTTTTAGATATACCCATTTTATTGCAGTAATTACACTATAAGTTGCTCTTACGATAATACTTTTGTCCTCCATTTTCAGAAGATTTAGTTGCAATAAATTTTCTAACTTTAAGTTTTTGTTGTTTCCATGGCCAATACTTCAGAGATAGGTGTGTCAAGCATTATTAACTTTCTCCTTCTTCAGCTCATACATGAGAAAAAAAAACCTCATTTAGGGACGATACGTTCCCATTGCCCAAGATTTGAAAATGAACTTGGTCAAATTCAATAGAGTCCTATGATTGTCATGGCTAACAACACTTCAGAGTTTGCTAGATCAAGCATTATCATTTTCTTTCATTTTCAACTCATACAAAAGAAAAAACCTCATTAGAGATGGTATGTTCCTTTGCCAAAGATTTGAAAATGAACTTAGTCAAATTCAATAGTGAGACCTACAAGGAACTCAAACTCAAAGACCATTTCTCTAGCACTACAGTATCATCATTGCAGTTCATTTTGAGATATTGGTACTAATCTAATTCTAATTATATAACCTCCATTTCTGTGAAATCTTCAAGGACATAAAGTTTGCTTTGTTAGGTTGTTGAGAGTTTCATCTTAATCTCAAAGATGAGAGTGGCATCTTTGGCCTTCATGTATATTTAACATCTTCTCAGACTTCTTTTGTGGTTATAAGGAACATTTAGGGTCCTCTAATTTTTGGCATCATGATATTCCAACAAGATAACATGATTGTGAAATCTACTTCATCCCAAAGTATGAACTTTGGGCCTTTTGGTTTTGGATTAGGATCTACAATTTGGAGTTTTTTCTTTTTTCTTTTAGAAAGATCTTAACAATTTGGAACCATTTTACATAATTTATTCCATTCAAATGATTTGGAATTTTGAATGCACAATCAGGAACCACCTTAGATAATTTCTTCCACATTCGATCATTTCTTTCGTGCAGCCATTGGATTCCGCCAACTAGGGAGCAACCTATAACCTTCTTCCATCATAGTATAAGAAATGAATTCATGGCTCATTAGTTTCCTAGTTTGCATATGAATTCATAGCACATAGCCACCGATTCTAAGTAATTTCAACACCAATATAAATCAAACCTTTTTATTACAAGTGCTACAAAAAAGTAGGTCTATGTTTGACATTCAGGCTTATATTCAACTCATTAATGAGACAAAAGTCATAGAACACTTAGATCATATTTTTATTTATTTATTTTTTTAAATCATGTGCATCTAAGATTTTTTTTTTTTTTCATTTAATGCTCATTCAATGAGGATGCACATTAATCTAGAATGCACAATCCTTCATATGTCACAATTGATCATAATGCTCAATTGGAATATTAAACGTTAATGATTTTGAATCTAAATAAACATCTTTTCCATAATATTTTACTTTCCTCTAAGTCTATTCTATGTTGAGATTAATACTTACATCCTTGGTTTGATATCAAGTACTCGAGTAATTCCACGTAACTAGTTGGAATGGTTTTATCTACAAGAATAATGTATTAGATCCATCTGAAAAATTCATATGTTTCAAGGGATAATGCAATCGTATCCATGGTTTTACTCATAACAAAAACAATACACTTGCTTATGTATAGCATTTTATCCACGAGAATAATTACAGAAGGAGAAAAGTTATCCCCTAATTAGTTCACAGCAAACTTATAACATTCTACAATATATTTAGGATAGTGTGTTTTAAGGTGTAAATTGATATCTTCGTTTTAAGAAAATATTTAAAATCCCTTCATGTGAATGATTTCCACAAGAATTTTGAGAAGTTTATAAGCATACAAGCTTCAGCCTCGACACTCTTGTGCAACAACCACCACACCTAGGATTTCTTTTTTAACTGGCGCAGGTCTTGAATGTTTCAATAATGTCAAGCTAACGAGATCATTATGATTGTTGTTCGATAGAAGCCTCCTGAATCAAACATCTTCCATGGGCAGTCCTCGGCCATCTGACATTCTACTCCCTAGATCCAAATAAAAAACAAATGAACAGAGGTGTACCTCTAGCCAAATCAAAGATCGCAAAACCCACAAGGCCTTTTACCAATCGAATCAAAGATCGACGAAATGAGGATTTCTTCTCATTAGGAGGAGAAGCAAGGTATACTTATTGTGGTCTTCCTCTTGCCAATTTGTGCAGTTAGTGTCTCTCTCTGTGGCAATCATTTGCAAGATTTAAAGAAGAGGTGAGGGATGACGTTCAATTAAGAGCGGGTAAAATCAGGCTGTGAACATTGGCGAATCAAGGCTTACAAACATGGGATCATGTTGTAGGTGGAGCAAAGAAAGAAAGTAAGATGGCTAATGAGTAGAAGCACATAAAGAATAGATGTAGGACTTCATGCAAGAAAGTAAGGATGGCACACAGGAATCACGTACATAGGCCATGCTTGCAGGTGTTGACCCCAATACTAGTGTCGGGATCGAGTCGACCGTGCAAGGTGAATGTCGAAAGCAAAAGAGCACGAAATCGCACATAATTCACCTGACGTGTCGACCCAAAACCCAAAATCGTCGAGATGACCTCCGTTCGCGAAACGGACAGCGCCGATACATCCAGAGCAACGGAAACAGCTAAGATCAACACCCATATTGATGGGAGTCAACGATCGATGAAAATTTAAAATTTTGGGCGCGCGAATTGAGACGACGACGTGTGCGAACGGCGATGTAGCGAAAAACTCGGTGCAAGATTTAAAAAAAATTATGCAATATAATTAAAATATTTTTAGAAAAGAGGGAGAGAAAGAGTTTTTCTTTTTAAGTTTTTTTTTCTTAAATAAAAAAAATCCCAAAAATACCCTCAGAGCAACACTATGAGCTGGGCTCAAACACACACTCAAAGGTGTACTACATGAGCTAGCTAACAACTAAAGGATCAAATTCCATGCATTGGTCGTGCAGCAGAGCAAGGTAGTTATTCCTTGAGTAGGTGATGTGGAGTCGTAAGCGGGTGGAACAACAAGGGAAAGCCAACGTGGAGGCATGGCAAGTGGGACAATCTCACATCATGGCATAGTTTCCGACTTTCCGTGAGGTAAAGATTCGTGAATGCAAGTTTAGAGTAATTAGTGTGTTGTGAGAGAGGCAAGAGGTGTGTAAGCACATGTCTGTTCTTGTGTGTGTCTATATATATATAAATATATATATATATATATTTATTTATTTATTTATTTATTTCTATTTTATCTTTTTTTTTCTTTATTTTATGATAAATATTAGTAAAACTGGGAAACAGTCTGGTAAACCAAGCATTCTATTTTAGCTAAATGAGTTCTACCAAAAATTTAATATACTACTTTAAAGTTTCCAATTTCTTACTACTTTGTTTTGTTAGAGCTGAAATCAAACATCCAGTTCAACTCTGAGAAGCATATACAAGCTCAAAAGGTAGGTTTTCTAAGATTACCATGCATTGAACTTAAACATGCCTTAATGCCTACTTACACAAAAAAAAAGGTTCCTATGAGACAAGAACATGTATGGAACAAGCTGATCAGGGCAGTAAATAGTAGGACTTGAATAAAACGGGGACGGAAAAAAGTAAAAGATGATTAAATAAGTTTTCAAGCAGCATTCATATGCTTGATTTATACAAAGCCATTTAAATAACTGATGTAAGTTCGTTTCTCTATTTTTTTTGTTTGATGCAGTCATGCAGAAGTTAAATTTTGCTAATGATGTATGTTCTATCTGGAAAATATGAAAGCAGGTCTCAAATAGAATTCTCAAGCAGAACTAAGGGATTCACTTAGTTTCTGTCTTCTGGCCTAAAAGGTAAAACAATGAGCTACTACATCGCAAGCAGCAGAGTATTTCACTCAGGTAAGAGTCATCTTAAACGGATGAAAGAAGAATAATCTAGGGGAATCACAACTCATTGGTCAAAATTTTGAGGTTCCCCTCAAGTCTTCCGTCGTGTAGCCATATTTCAAATAGCTTTCAGAAGTAAATATCTACAGATGGCCCTTAGTGGGGCTAAGCTGTATGAAAAGCAGAGCACCGCAAAAATGCTCAATTGATGTGAAATAGATGTATGGAAAAAGTAGAAATAATAACTTGCACAATGATTAGAAGAGGTATTCAACAGCTACAAAGGACAAGCTGAAGTAAATAGCCTGAGATTATAATGCATGGGATTGCAAACGAGGATTCAATTGGAGCAGTCAATAACAGCTGCTTATGGTTTAAGCAAAACGGCGTTGCATTTTAAGAAAATAAAACAAGAAATATTTAATTATGAAAAAGATATTACGAAGTTTATTCACAGAATTTTGTAAGAAAAATAACAAAGTAATATAGGCAGTTCGACTAAGGAAAATAAAAATTGCATGGCAACTATTTCAAAGGTGCAAAAGAACAGTCTTACTGTGAGAGGCCAGCCCTTCAAAGTTAAATTGCTCCCAGCTGGATTTGAGCCTGATACAGGGGAAATTATTTGAAAAAAAAAGTGCATTATATTCTGATTTGTATAGCTAAAACAAATTATATAACAAAATAAAGTTTAATATATAAAGTGAAACATTTAGCCATACTCTGAACTATGAAAGATTAATTCTAATTACATTTGATGGGTAACTTTTCTAATAATAAGAACATTGAAGGTTAGATACAAGGAAGCACTGATGCTCTACAAGTCATCTTGTGCCCTATCCAACACAGTTGCACATGAACACACCTAAAAATTTCTCAGCGATTTCATCTTAGCCGTCCATTTGCCGTGAGAATTTAGTATTCCAGCAAAATATTATTTAAATCCCAGTGAAGACAATTGTAATATCCTGTAGTTTCAGTGCAAGTTTGAATCCAACTTTTCTAAACCTGGTATATTGTAAAAATCCCAACCATCCCTTGGCCCTCAATCCCACGAACAACATGGGGATCCATGGGAGGCTCACCTGGATCACGCTATGAAATCTCAACCATACATTGGCCCTTGATCCCACGGCCAACATGGGGATCCACGGGAGGCTCATCAAGATCACGCCTATCTCCTTCTATATTTGGGTGGCTGATTTAGAAAGGATTATACAAGGCAATTATGCATGATTATCTAGTTATTTGTTTCTTTCTTAAAACATCTTGTATAGATCTATAAATAGGGATAGATTTGTGTAATAAAATTAATTCTTGTCCCTCTAAAATTCTCTTAATTTAACATGGTATCACATCCTACATTGCCTTGGCCAGAATTTTGAGTTTTTTTTATGCCAAACTTTCTGAAGGGTCCCTTCAAAAATGAAAGGGAGCGTATTTTGGCTTGTACGTTCCTGTGTACGTCCAACCGAGAGGGGGAAAGTGCCTCATCCCGCGGTCTCTTCGTTTGATCAAGAGAGACAAACGTCTAGTGTGTCTCGCCTGGAGGAGTCGAGCAAGAACCCCAAGGTCTTTGTGTTCAATCAAGAGATGAGCATCTCACAAACCCCTCTCACATGCGTGCAAACGAACTGAAAGAGAGAGGCATGCAATCATAAGAATTTGTGTGTGTCTGGGAGTTGATTGAGCGGGATTGTGCTCAATGTTGTGTGTGATTAAGGGTGATCCGGTTCTTGCATTCTGATTCCTGCTCGCATAAGTCTTGAGAAGTCGAGCAAGTGAGAGGGCTTCCACTTTCGGTCTTCTGCATACGGCTAGAGAAGGAACATGATACCCCTCTCATGCGTGCCTACCCAGGCGCCAAATTGAGTGAAGAAGAGGATCAAGAGAGGGAGCGTGCCTGAGCATGAACAATTGGCCCTCGTGCGTGTGTTGGAGCCGAACCAAGTAAGGAACGAGCGGTTGAAGAGCTGTTGTACATACCATCAAATCCTCCACTTGAAGAGCCCCTCCTTGCTCTAAATCTTTCTAGATAGCAAAAAAAGTCGACCTCTCCCAAGATCTCCACCATTGGGATCAATCCCTCAAATCAGACGAAGGCCACTTCGTAGCCCACATTCTAGCCTTCTTCACTGTCGCTGACGGAATCGTCATTGAGAACCTTGCTGGTTAGATTTGGACTGAAGTCAGTTTGTTGGATTCAAAGCTCGTCGATGGAATGATCTTGATATATGGAGTTGCCAAGATGATGTGCGCAGTGGGGAAGAATATGGCTTTCTTGGTGGTAAGGCAGTTCACTGCTAAGATCCAATGTGTGCTTGTGGCGACCGAAGAGTTGGTGAGCATGCAGATGAAGTACGCTACTTTCCTAAGTAGGGAGTCAATTGTGGATATCGAGGGTGAGGCTATAGAGAGATTAGAAGCACTTTATCCTACTTGAAGATATTGGCGCTTGCTAATTCTCCAAGTTCCCACCACCGTCCTTCATTGTCGGAATTCTGAGGAATATACGTTCCCACTAGCAATCTTCATTGCTGGAATTTTGAGGAATATAGGTTCCACCATTGGCCTATATTGCTAAAATTCTGAGGAATACAGGCTCCCACCACCAACCTTCATTACAAGAATTTTGAGGAATACAGATTCCCACCACCTGCCGTCATTGCCGAAATCCTAAGGAATATTAATCATTCTACCTTCCTTCGTGCACCCAAAGGCCAAGGAGAGACCGAGCAGGAGGCCTCTCACGTGCAACGCCCAGAGTTGACCGAGCAGAAGCGAGAGAAGTCTAGCACATAATCAATGCTTGTGTGCGTATGGAAAGAGTTGAGAGTTCCCTCTCGTGAGGGTCTAGGGTCGAGAAAAGAAAGAGTGCAAGATCTGCACTCTTTCCTGCAATTAGACCAGATGGATCAGAGACCCTGCGTGCGCTTATACGGGGTCAATCAAACAGGAGTATTCGGTTGGAGTCGGACGACTAATTTGCATTGGGCTAAAGGCTGGCTCAATCAAACGGGATGAGATTTCCTTGCCAACTGCTGAGCCGCTTGTGACATGTTTTTATGCTGATGTCCTTGAAGCTTGCTGCAACCTTAAAAAAAGAATTTGTTTCTACTTCCGTGCCTCCATTGTCGGCCTTCCAATATGGTTGTAATCATATCTATAACCAAAACAGCCATCATTATTTCCCTACTTAATATAATCTTCATTGCTACCCTTTGTCACAGTAATGTTTGATGCTAATTTCTCTCAAAGTTTTGACTAAATGGAGGACTCTATGGTGCTCCAAGGGACTTGATAATTTTAGTTTTCTGAGACTAATTGCCAAGTCAGGAATGACAGATCTGTATTCCCCAGCTTGAAAATTCTACTTTATTGAGTCACAGATCACCTAACACAGGAGTCTCTTTACTAGTCTTCCTCTTCTCTTCCAATTTCTCAACGATTTTATCTCTCTCCCCCAATTGCAGTGAGAAGTTCCAGCAATATTATTTAAATCTCACTGAAAATAATGGTAATATCTTGTAGTTTAAGTGCAAATTTGAATCCAACTTTTCTCGACTTGGTATATTTCTCTTGGCAGAGCGCAAGTCTTCTCAGATTCCTCTTTGCAACATTATATATCTCTCGGGAATCCCTTTCTAATCTTTCAGGTCATCTTTAGTTATCTTCCAAATGCTTTCCCAAATCACAGATCACCTAACTTAGGAGTCTCACTTTTATAATACCCAAAAATCTGAAAAGATGAGATCAAAATTTACTTGAACTTTTACCCCCAATTTCGCATAACATGAAATGAAAAAAAAAATACAATTTTACATTTCAATATATATATACATAATTTTGTAATAACTTAACCTAAAGTTCACTTAATATTATTGCTCATAGAATTATATCACCACGCATTTGTTTATTGTACTGTAGCATTTAAAACCCTTTCCAGTTTGTCAGACATACATTGGTTAATGTGCTTTTGAAAGGTTAAGATGGTCTAACAGATGAATGTTATAATTGTATAAATACTAATATTAAGCGCTAAGCACATTCCTTATTTCTCATACCCTAATCCCAATCAGTTTAGATATAGAGAACCAGTTGTATCTTGAGGTCAAAGGGGATGAAGAAGGGAAAAAGAGAAATGGAGGCCTTGATTTTCCAGTAGAAGTTCTAAGCTTCCGAGAATCTAGTTTGGTTTAAGATTGGTAGCTTTAAAGCATGAATGAGCATTCTTTTTGAGGTAAAATGTAAATTGACATTAGTTTGAATTAGGTTTGAGTTGACAAATTACGAATCAGTATAACATGAGAAAATGAATGCTTGAGGTTGTGTGTGAACAAAACATGATTTCGAAGCAAAAAAGCAAGAAAATATATTCAGAGGTGGATCGATTATTGACAGCGAGACCCTAAATCTCTAGCATATGGAGCATAATCGTCTTAGATTTTTTTTTTAGTAGTCTTAGATTTGATGCTTATTCATTCCTACAATTATAATGAACTCTTATGTGTATTCTAGTAAACATTTTGCCATACTAAGCATATTAATAATATCTAATTTTATCAATAAGTCTACTATATTGCATATGATCATTCTTCAAGATAATGTCATGTGGGATTACATTTTCACATAATTCAAGTCTCATGATTGTCTAATGACCTATTATGCACATTTAAATACCCAAATATTAATTTCATATCATGCTTATGTCATAAATATGGGTCAATATAATTTGATGTTAGCATTAAATACTTATGATTTAGGGATTCATGTAGGACACAATGGAGAACAAGGATTCATGTAGCCGCCCCACGTAGTGGGATAAAGGCTTGATGTTGTTGTTGTTGTTATTGTTGTATTAAATACTTATGATATTGAAGTTAAAAAAGTCAATGAAATCTTACGTCATGTGACATAGGTTAGCAAATTATGATAACATGCACACTAAGCTACAAAAGAGTTTAAGAGTATTAGGAGCCCAAAATAGCATTTTGAACTCTCAAAAAATGTACGTTGAGAGTAGTGCAAAAGTTATAGAGGGGTCATCTGATAACTGGCATGTTGGAGCATGTTCAACCAATATCGACGATCATTATATGCCGACAAGCTTGGTGATGGTCAAATAATTTTTAAATGTTTCAAGAACTATACAGACTTTATATGACAATTCTAAGACTATGAAAAGTAAGAAAGAGAATTTAAATATAAGTGAAACTAATATTTCGATACTAGCATTTGACTAGCAAAATAAATTGAATGATTGGAAATCAAACAATTATTTTTCATGTCTAGCAGTCTTTCATACTTATTGCTCATATTGTCCTTTACATGTTCAGCTATTAGATCATGTCTTACCTAGATGTTTATTGCACATATCTAGTTATATCTATATGATTATTCATATCCATGTTAATTCAAACAATCATCATAGCATATTATTTTCTTTCCCTTGTATTTTGAACACTTTATTAGACTTGTTTATCCCAATGAATTTTATAATTAGCTGGATATTACTTAGGTTGTTGTTTCTAGTAAGGGAAAAGAGCAAATTGGGATGTATTAAGGTGATCAGGTTTATCCACCATCTTAATATTTTGGATGTATCT